GGAAAGTTCAAACAATAGTACAATAGCAGGAAGAGTAACACAATGAACCCCTGAGTTTCCCTCACTGTTCCACTGATGATCTGCATGTACTTTGTCATTTCATTTATACTTCCCCGTCTCTCTGCCCCCTGGCCTGCATAGAGGTGGGGTGCACCTATGGCAGCCTCAAATGGGCTACAGGTCTGCTGAAATCTCAGCCTCTGGGGTGGCTGGGTGGGGCCTGGGCAGCCACGGCCCCTACGCAGCGGCGTTCTCGGTGGGAAGCCTCATCCACTGACTCCAGCAATGAAAACAAGTAATGTCCACACACCCTGCAATGCAAGAATGCTTGCCATACACCCTTTATGGCATTCAAAGCTTTAAGGCACATCAGCCATCCTCAGTTCCCATGCTATTCATGGATTTCAAAAGACCCTTGTCTGTAATCCTGATTATCTTTTTAAAGAATCAATTTTAAATAGACATATGCACACCCGTATTCATTGCAGTATTATTCACAATAGCAAAAAGATGGAAACAACTTAAGCATCCATCAATGGATGAATGGATAAACAAACTATGGTGCATACACACAATGGAATACAGTTGTTTTATGTGCCATCGAGGTGGCTCTGACTCAGCAGACCAACCCTATGGACAACAGAACAAAGCACTGCCCAGTCCTGTGCCGTCCTTACAATCATTGCTATGTCTGAGCCCAATGTTGCAGCCACTGTGTCAATCCATCTCCTTGAGGGTCTTCCTCTTTTTCTCTGATTCTCTATTTTACTGAGCATGATATCCTTCTCCAAGGACTGCTCCCACCCATAACATGTCCAAAGTACGTGAAACAAAGTCTTGCTATCCCGACTTCTAAGGAGACCCAGGCTGTAGTATGCAAAATAACAATAAAACTACAAAACATCTCACAACATTGATGAATTTGAAAGATATTACACTAAGTGAGAAAAGTCAGTCACAGAAGGACAAATATATGAGATCCTCACTATAAAAAAGAAACAAGGAAAGGTTTATGCATCGAAAAAAAATTCTTTGATGGTTACCAGGGATAGAAGGGAAAAGGAAAATTACTAACCAGATAGAAGATATTTGTTAATAATGGTGAAGGGAAAGGCAATACACAATATGGGAGGAGTCAGCACAGTATGACCAAGGCAAAAGAAGATGCTAAGAGGAAAACAAGAATAAAGGGAAGGGCAACTGCGTAACGACTAAAACATAGACAATCAATACAACAAAACAGACAACAATTTACAAATGGATACATATTTAGATAAGTATGCTAAAGAGGCGTGAGAGGAAATAAGGGAGCACACTCATGTGCAGATTCATGTTTGGTTGTGGATATTTCTGCATGCATAAATGAAGGTGCTACATGTATAGGAATATAGACAAGAGAGCACACAGGGGAACTGTCATGGAAACTTCTTCCTAGGTTCCAAGGTGAAGGATCATAGATTTGGGGAACACCTATGTCAACTGGCACAACACAGCTCATAAAGATAATGTTCTGCACCTTACTTTCATAAGTAGTGTCTGGGGTCTTAAAACTTGTAAGTAGCCATCTAAGATGCAACTGTTGGTCTCTTCCCAACCAGAGCAAAGGAGAATGAAGAAAACCAAAGACTCAACGGAGCAATTAGTCCAAAGGACTGATGGACCATGTGAACCACAGCCTACATGACCCCAAGACCAGAAGAACTAGTACCAACCACACTGACTGGGATTACAGAGGGTCCCAGACAGAGATGGAGGAAAAAGGTAGAACAAAAAATCAAATTCACAAAAAAGACCAGATCTGACAGAGACTGGAGGAACCCCAAGACTATGGCCCTAAGATACCCGTCTGACCTAGACCTGAAGCCATTCCCAGAGACCACCTTTCAGCCAAACAACAGACTGACCCCTGAAATACACTGTAACACCTGAGAGGAATATGTTCCTTCGAACAATCAATTATACAAGACCAAAAGGACAACGTTTGCCCAAAAGCAAAGATGAGGTGGGGAATGTAACCAATGTCATGGAACACTTTATGCACAATCAAATGGGAAACTAATTCACTCTGTAAACTCTCACTTAAAGTACAGAAAAAAAAAAAAAAAAAAAGAATAAAAAAGAATCAACTCTAAAAAAATAAGCTCAAGAAATAACAGCTCAAATACTCATAATCAATGAGACTCAATAGTAGGGGCAAATACAATAAAAGATAATGAATCAGTATTACAGATCTCAGATCCATTTCAGAGTAACTCCAACAGGGAAAATGGCCTGCCAATCATGAGTAATACAGAAACCTGACCCTGACCTTTAGTTTATTATGCCAGAGTGACTGAGAGTCCCTGATACCTGGGCCTGGGATAGTATTTTTAAGTTTGTGCTTCCGCCATGTCCCCAGAGTACCAGAGTTTTCACCACACACACACACTAGGAGGCATTGCCTTGACAGACGGCAAGAGTGGTGAGTGGAGTCTTCATCTACCTTCTGCAAAGTGAGGAGTCAGATGAATACAAAAGTCCCTCCAACCCTGGGACTCCAGAGGTGTGCAGCAGCCCTGCAAGGCGGGGTAAATGTAAGAACAGTTCCAAGGTAGCAAGGGACCCTTTTCAATGTCCATCCCTGGAACACCATGCACAGAGCTCTGCTTTGGCTACCTGCTGGCCTCTCTTAGAGGGATGAGTGCTCTTCTACCCCGTGCTGCACACCAGTGAGGGAAGAACACTGTTGGGTGTCTTCACTCTGCAGAAGAGAGCTGCAACAGAGCTATGGATTCATCTTCGACATCCTCGCCCTGTAAGCCCCGCTTCAAACAAGCTTCAGTTGGCTTCCAACAATGAAGAAACCACCTTCTTAAGCAGAGAAGAATCATGAGAGAACTTTACTTCCAAGCAGCAAAGGAAGAAAACTTTTGGCAACCATAAATCAGCTACTGCAAGGATGTCTCCCTACAAAGATTCTCTCTCTCTCTCTCTCTCTCTCTCTCTCTCTCCCAAGGAACTGAAAATCCTTATTGGGAGATGACAGATCAGCAGCACATTGGTCAGGAACACCGGACACTCCACACCTGACTAGTGCCCTGGAATGCTACACGAAGCCTGAGATGTGCTAAATTCTCAAAGAGCCATCTGGCAAGGTCTTGGGGGTGTCTGTTCCCCCAGTGGTAACGTCTTTTTTCATAATACAAGAAGCCTGACCTGAGCTCCTCTCTTCAGAAAGAGGTGGACTCATTTCCCCATAGGAGGTTATATTTCTCCTACTTTGGAGATAAGAACTTACCTCCTGACAACATCAGGATGTAAGGAGCTGGGAAAATTGCAGCCGTCCACTCACTCCTGCCACTCAGTAGACTGGGGTTATCTTCACTGCATAGCAACACTACAGGGAAAACAGCCCCTTGTCTGATCTCTTTGGCTAGTCCCCTCCTCAGTGCTTAAAGTCTTGCTGATCTCCATTTGGCCAATCTGCACATCTGGAGTAGGCTCAAACAAGGAGACAGCAGAAGACAATAGGGTCAGTGACAGGTCTCTGATGCCATGCAGGGGCCTGCACTGGGTCAGCAGCCTGTGGCTAGGGACAAATAGGAATGTTGCTGTTTCCCATATGGTCTGCTGTAAGGTCCTTCTGGCCTTGGGTCATCACCCCAGCAAGTGACCTAGTATGGTCCCTTAGGCAGTCAGGCCCAGCTTGTGTGCATGACAGCAGGCTTCAGATAGCAGGCCTAGCTGTCTGCTCTACTGTGCTAGCCACAGTGGTGTTGACCCCAGCCAGTCCAATAGCTCACAGTCTTTGAGAGTGGGCTATCAGTAAGAAGGCAGCATGATCTAAAAAAAAGCAAAACCATCACACTTTTATTAACCTGGGTCAGGACAGAAGCATGGTTTGTTTGCTCTTGCCCAGTGGTGGTCCTTGCCACCATAACCTAGGCTGTGGGAAGAAAAGCCACCAACAAGGCTTCATGGCCACAGCCAAAACATCCCTGCTATCCCCTTCGCATGTTCTTGGAAGCGAGGGGCAGGGACTCTGGCCAAAGCTGGGCATGGGTCACTTTGACCTTGAATCACAAGACAAGTCCAACACAGGCCAATTCAGATCCTGGTTTGAAGTCTCAGACTTCAAATGTTCCTATTCAATTAAACATTTAAAACCCATCAAAGGGATGGCAGGGTGAGGAGGACAGGAAGGACGCCAAGGCTGTTTTCCAGGGGAGGAGGACATGTTGCTTTGGGAAACTCTGGCTCTGGGTGGACACCTGCTGTGATGGTTTCCTGTGAGCACGCAGAATAAGAAAAGAAGAGACTGAGCATTCACCTCAATTTCAGCACATGCACAGTGGGAGAGTGGGTCCTATTGAAATTCCATGACTTTGGAGTTTTAAAAAAATCTAGAGAATTAAATAGCCCACCTCTGGTGGCATAGTGCCTAAGGAATTTGACTGCTAACCAGAAGGTTGGCGGTTCAAATCCACCAGCCACTCCTCAGAAGAAAGGTTGGGCGATCTACTTTTGTAGTGATACCGCCTTGGAAACCCCAGAGGGGTCACTATGAGTCGGGTCTGACTCGATGGCAGTGAGTTTGGTTTGGTTTTAGTAGAAGGTAATCAAAACACCAAGAGCTGAAGGTTACCCTACAGAGTAAAGGAGCATGAAGCAAGGGGTCCGAGAATAAACCTGTAGGGGCTGTATATTTTCTCCAAGGAGGAAAGCAGCACTTATGGCTTTACTACCCAAAGCCCTACCCAGCTGCTTACCAGCCTGGAAGTTAACCAGGAAAAGTGGGAGGAGGTCACCTTGCTCCAAGGCAATCAGTGGACCAGGAAGCAGAAATGCCTCCTCCCCTACAACAAAATCTCTCAGCCCTTTCCCTGGCCAGACCCCTCCCTTGGTCCCATCTCCCCACCTGCTCCATCTGTCCTCCAAGGAGAGTTCCACTCACTACTGCAGCATTTTATTCAAGTCTTGGGCACCCCATGGGCTGTTAGCCGAAGCATCCCATGGCCTGTCTACTTGAGGGAACAGATGGAGAGCGTAGCACCAGCGGAAAACACCCAGAAGGCAGGGTACAGAGCTTCTGTAAAGTCCACCTTGTACTTATACAGCAGGTGGACCTTCTCAGAGACGGCGAAGAAGATGACAAAGCCGGAGTCACAGTTGAGAAGCACGCCGATCCGTGTGGACTTGGTGCAAGGCAGGGTTTTCTCCACGTTGTTGTGCCAGGCTGAGATCTTGGTGTTGAACCACTCTACACACCAGGAGGAGCTATTGCGCCCAAGCCGGCTCTCGGGGCCCTGCCGCTCCATGGAGCCATAGCAGATGCCCACCCCACAGAAGTTATTCTTCTGCAGCTCCACCTCCCAGTAGCTGACCCCTCTCTTATAGCAGTATAGGCCCAGAACCTGTGAGCAGTATGTGAACCTCTGGGGATGTGGCCGGTAGCTCTGGGGGATGTCAGCCACAGAAGCCGTGGTGTAGCTCTCTGACAGAGCCACCTTGTTGTGGGCAGTGTTGTAGTCCAGGATGACCTTAACAGCATCTGAGAAAGGAATATTACAAGGAGTCTAAGTGCTCTCACTTTTAAACCTTTCCCTATGAGTACTAGTTGTTCATTTCTTTAACCCATCCATCCATCTTCCATTTATTCATCTATTCCCATCCATCATCCATTCTATCTAGCCAATCACACATCTGTCCATCCGTCACTCCAGTCATCTGCCCATTTATCAGTCATCCATTTGTCCATTCATCTATCCAAAATGATGTCCTGAGCACCTGATTCATGCTGGATCCTATGCAAGATGACGCACAACCACCAACTAAGAGACATGAGGCATGGCCTCATGAAGTTCATAGTTCAACATGCAAGGCAAGTCTGTCAGCAGACACAGGCCCAGAGAAAGTGATGAGGTGGAATCAACCAAGGCTGGGGATTAGCTAGACTGGACAGCAAGTGGGGGAGTCAAAGAACTGGTTGTGGAGTCTAAGCTGGCTGGGGAGAGATGTGAAGAAAGGCAGGTACTGACGGAAGGAAGAATTAAGAGAACAACAATGTAGAGGAGAGGGGAAGGGAGTAGCTGACCAAGGAAGCCAGTGGGACCTGGACGGTGTCAAGGGCAAGGAGCTGTGAAGAGCTACTCACACTCCAGGAGCTCAGGTCTAGACATGGCTAAGAAGTTCTCCAGCACCTTGGCCTTGAGAGATGCATTTGGTTGTGAGCCAGTGGCTTTGGCTGTAACAGGGAGAGGATACAGACAGCTGTTTTCAGAACAAACTCAGATGGAAACCCCACTGCCCCTTTTCCACAAGAACTCACCCTCTTGGCCAGCTTGTTCAGGCACTTTCAAGGTGGGAGTCTTGCTTGGTGCGGGAGAGGCAGGCACTAGGGAGGAGGGAGGAGAAAAATGAGTTGGCAACATGACACAGAGTTAACTCAGTGCCCTCTACTCCTTTCAAAGCTGATTTCTAAGAACCACTTTCACAGACACAGGTGAGTCCAGACAGGGCTATCTTCTTATTCATCTTACTCATCTATACTATCCTCCCCTCCAACCTCAGGCCTGCCTGTCATACAGAGTATCAGCCTAAACTCAGGCCCCATCAAAGAACTCTGATGAGAGAGGTCGGCTGCAGCTGCCAGCCTTTAATTTAGCACTTGGCTGATCCTCGAGAAACAGTAAGATGTAGAAATGCATGACTTACTGGGTTTCTTAGGTTTCTTCTCATCTTCTGAAAAAGAAAGTTTTCAGAATTAAGAGAGTTTAAAGCACAACACAATGACCCTTTCAAAAGACCATACTAACATCCATTTGCATGAATCTGCTCCATCCAAACAAAGCCAGGGTTTCTGAACTTGAAAAATATAAGGGGTCAACAGACAAAAAGAATCTATGACGATAAAGATCAGATCAGTGGTTGCTGGAGAGGGAGGGACTGGTAAGGAGCATGAGGGAGTTTTCTGGGATGATGAAAATTCTTGATTTAAGTAGTAACACATGCATATGCATTTGTTAAAATTTATCTAACTATATTTAAGAGCTATGCATTTTACCGTAGGTAAATTATATCTGCAGAAAAGAAGAAATTCACATAAAAATACTGAGTCAGCAAAAAAATACACTTTTAAAAATATCTAGATTGTGTGCCTATGGGAACTGAGTTTAAGAGAACAGTGACTCTCTCAACGTGTGGTCCCCAAGCCAGCTGCAGCAGCACCACCTGGAAACCTGTAAGAAATGCAAATTCTTGGCCCAGCCAGACCTTCTTAATTGGATATTCTGGGGGCAAGGCCAGCAACCTGTGTCTCACAAGACACCTGGGAGATTCTTACATACAGTCAAGTTTCATACCAGAACGAAAAGGAGTGTTTTGGACCTCATGCCCTGCTCTCTCTTACTTTCTTCAGCTTCTCCACTGGACCCTCCCTTTGCCCCCACAAGCTCCCCCAGCTACTCCTTCCTCTCGCCTCACAGTCAAATTCCTTCAGGAGTTGTCTTCACTCTCTGCCTCATTTCCTCACCTTCTTCTCACTCTCCACCCACTCCCATCTGACCAGAGGACTCCACGATGCGGCACTGGAATTAGGCACAAGCACCCTGCCTGGTCCCCTCAGGTCTCAAGTGTTTCTTCTACACTCTGACTACTAGTCCACCCCCTCCTTAGCTAGTTTCCATCTCAATCTATTTATGTTGAGTCACTTCCAACACATAAGAGCCTCAATTCATTCCTGAATTTGACTTTCATGGTTCCAACTATGTTCAAGGTCTGTGACCTTGAACAGATCCATGACATGGAGTAATGTGTCATTCTGCTGAAGTAGGAGGTAGTCACCTCCTGAGGGAATGGGCCTCCTGGTGGCTCAGCATCCACAGCTCATTCACAGAAGGAATGTACTAGTATATGTGATTTGGGGCAGTGGTGAATAAGCTTTCATGGGAAGTAGCCCTCAGAAGAGTCTCTGGGTGGTGCAGATGGTTAAGTTCTTGGCTGCTGAGAAACTACAGTCCACTCAGCGGTACTATGGTAGTTAAGGTTATGCATCAACTTGGCTGGGTCCAGTTTTGAGTGAGTGGGTAGCTAGATGTAGTTACTCCCCATGATGAGACTGGTAATCAACTCCATGGTGGAATCTGCTGTGAGCAGCTGAGTAGCTGCCTTAGGGACATGGTCTTCTTCCAGTATGTAAGAAGAAACTTTGACGAAGCTCTCTGGGATTTTGGGCACACTTGGACCCTGCATGTAGCCCAGTCTTCATTCAGCAACCTGTCATGTTGCCTACCGATCTTGGGACTGTTCAAGTCCAGACTTGAGCTAGTGGGCTGCTGTGTTGCTTAATAATCTTGGAACTGTGCTATTTTACTTATTAATCCTGGGTTCATCAACCTCAATAGCCAGCAGCTGCCTGAGTTAAGAGAAGCCTCCAGCTTCAGTGGGCCGGGAGCAAAAGGCAGAGCTGAAGCCCAAGGTCAAGGGGGCTTCAGCCCCTAGAGCAAGCACTTTGAACCTGGACTTCTAGCCTCCTAAACTGTTAAGAGAATAAATCCCTGTTTGTCAAAGTCAACCACTTGTGGTATTCTCTGTTAGAGCAGCACTAGAGAACCAAGACAGGTGCCTCAGAAAAAAGGCCTGGCAATCTACTCCCAAAAAATTAACTGTTGGAAACTATATGGAGCACAGCTCGACTCTGACGTGGATTCACCATGAAGCAGACTGACTCGACAACAACTGGTTTAGCCCTTGAGAAAGATCCAAGTTTATAGTTCTTTCCCACCTATGCTTTCACTCAAAGTGCCCTATGACATTTCCCAGCTTGGCTGAGGGCTCCCTCCTCCATCTGCACCCAAGCATCCCAGCCCCTGACAGGAGTCCAGTCAGAAACTGATTACATATATCCATCTTCTAAAGATAACTGAAAACAAAGAATCAAAAGCTCAGAGTCCCTTCCTCCCTGCCACCACCCATTGTGTGGAGGCATCACTCCTTGGGATCACCATCACCTTTTACAGAAACACTAACCGTGAACATTTCAACAGCATGTCTATGGTTTATAAGGTCTCTCACGATCAGTGTCCCATGTGAACCTCACTCACAATAATTCTGGGCGGGGGGTTGTCAATGTCATTATTGTTCAAATCTCACTCTCAAGAGAGCATGCATTCTCATTGAGAGTGATATCACCCCCAAAGGGGCAAAGCTTGGCTCCTGGGGAGTAAAACAATCTTGTTCTTCTTTTCTGTATACAGCACAATATATAAACAGATGCACAGTATATGTGGGGCATTAAAATGGTATGGGGGTGATTAGGAATAAATGTGTCTAAAAAGGCATGGGATGGTAAGAAGAGTGGTAATGAAACAATGGTTGAGAAACATGATAGCAGAAGCACATTACAGATCAGCTAAATAGCACTGAGCTACTGCCAAGCTTGGGCCTCTGTACGTAGGAGACCACCGCCAACCTCCTCCATGGGGCTCTGCACTTGGTTCTGGAAATAACCCAATCAGCTGGTGATCCAACTGTTCCCGACAGCCCAGACATGCTATGGGCAAGCCCTCCTCATGTCCCGGTGGAGGTGCTGCCACTTCCACACCCTAGTGTCCGTAGCCAGCTTTTCTCCAGATGAAGCTCGGGCAGTGTGACCTGGGATGGGCCTAGGAGGAGCAGGGATGCCTGTGAGCATCTCACTTAGGCACTTGCCAGCCACAGCTCTGCTACTGCATGGAGACAGCGGTGCGGTTACTTACTTGGGGGCTTCTTCACAGGGCGTGACTTGGATGTGGAGAATGGGACATACTCTGCAGGGTCACCTGTGCCAAAAAAAGAAGGGTTCATTTATGCATCTCTTCCCCACCAACCCTAGAAGCCAGCTTTGCCATAGGCAAGCAAGTTAAGGGTTTATAAAGACAGCATTTCCACTGGTCTTCCCCATCCAACCATTTACAAGAGCCAGAAAGAAGGTAGTAGAAGGACGTTTGGTGTGCTTCCTCTCTTGTCAGACACAGAATGGTGGGACCGAGTCTTTTCTCTGTCACTGGTCAGCCCTGTATTTCTGAGCTTGGTTTCTCCCAAGTGTATGAGGAGGAGGATTCCACCATGCTCATGGCTGACGTGACCACCGAATGAGACCAAGACGCCTGGCGTGTAGTGTTTGCTCAATCAATGTTAACTTCTTTCCTACTGGTTTTCTCTCTCCCTCGTCCTCCCCCAGACCATGGAGCACCAACAATTTAAAAGGACAAATATCTGTGTGGCTAACTCATCAACAGCTTCACCCTCTACAAAGCATTTTCACACCTAGATCACCATGGAGCCACACTATGCCTTATTTCAGAGGTACTTTTCTGCAAGAATGCTCATCTCGCCAAGTGGAAACTCAGGCCCACTCCCCATGTTACACAACAGATAGTTTCCATGTGCCAGGCTCTGTGCCAGGCACTGGAGAGACAGTGAGGAATGACAAACAGACACAGAGTTGCCCTTAACGAAAGGATGGTCTGGCAGGGGAGATAGGGAAGGGTCACAAAGTATTCTCAAATGATGAATGAGCAGAGGGTCCTAAAGGGATGATAAGGATCCTATGACCCAGTGTGAGAACTGATGGGGGGACGGGAGGCTTGCAGAGAAATGTAATGTTTCGACTGAGCTCCAGAGGGTGTTCACTGGTGAAGATGGTGGCGTTGGAGCCTCTAGGCAGTGAGGGAAGAACACATGCAAAGGTGCTCTGGCATATGTGAACAACTGAGTACAGAGATGAGGAAGCACCTTGCAGCTTGCTGGCCAGTCAAGAATCTGGTCTATAATCTGAGCATGGAGAACCCTTGAAGCAGGAGGGGCAGTGAGGGGGAAATTGTCCCAGGTGATCAGATTTGTGTCCTGAGAAATTCCCTTTGGCTACATCAGGCTTACATGCAGAGGGACCATTTAGGAAGCTGCCATGGTCATGGGCACAGGTGATGGCAACTAGGAGCAGGCTGGTGGTGGTAGCTGCGATTGGGACTGGTGGACTAGGTTAGGAGATATTTAAGAAACTAACTGGTAATGGACTGGATATGGGGGGAAGAAAAGGAGAGTCAAGGGGGATTAGTAGGCTTCTCTCCCCCAAAAATTAGCCATCCCCCACCAAATACACTGACAATACTGACAACTTGAAGTCCATTCAAAAATCATCACAGCCTACCTCAGTGGTGACACTCCCAAAGAGCTTTTCCAGAAAGGCCCATCACAACAAGCTCCAGAAATGTTCTAGAAGGGATGGCTATAAAGTCAGAATGAGCCAAAGACTCTCCACTACCCCCAAGGAAGGATGGGTGTTTCAGAGTTCCTGAGACCCAGGCCCCAGTGCTCCATAAAACACCACCTCTTATGCCCCATCCCTCCCTCCGAAACACTGAGGGGACCCATCCAGCTTCAGGGCCCCAGCTGGGAAGCATTGAGGTTGCTAATGGTCACCTGGACTCATGTCCTCGGGCTTCTTCTCCTGGGACTGCTTGATGTGCTGCTTCAACACATTTTTCAGTTCTACGGTGCCCTGATAGACCCCCTTGATCAGCTCGTGATTCAGCTCAATCTTGGGCACGTAGATTGGCTTCATGGAGACTCCTTGTAGTTTTGAGGCTTTCTGTAACAAGCCAAGAGATTAGTGCAGGCAGTTCTCTCGAGTCAGGCCCCAAGCTTCATCCTCATGAATGCAAGGAGCACCTTCCCTGTGCCCACGGGTGTTAAGACCAATCAGCCTTCTCATGGGGCAGGCTAGAGGTCACAAGGAGTTAAAGCACCACTTGAAAACAGTAACCTAGAGCTAGAAGGGGAAACTGAGGTCTAGATAAGACAAGTGTCCTTTCAGGAACACTGCCAGTAAGTGGCAGTGATGAGTTTGGGGTACAGGTCTCCAGACCTCCAGGACAATGCTCTTTCCAGTACACCAGCTATAGCTGGGAAAGCACAGGAGACTCAGTACTGTCTCCATCCCTTGAAGAACAGCTCTTAACACATGTTCTAATGACAGAGAGGGGCATCTAGAGGGATGCAGGCATGTCCTATAGAAAGGGAGGATCTTGATGACATAAAATCAAATCATAAAATATCAAAAGGCCCAGATGTGGACTCAGAATACCTCCCAGAGAGCTCAAGGCAGCTATTCCAACCAGTAGGAATGAGCACTTAGGACAAAACTTCATGGCATCCAGGCTAGGCAATGGATGAGAAGACTCTGAATGTGGAAGAGAAGGTTCCCAGTCATTCTGGGACACCCCCCCAGGACATGAACAAAGAAGCAGGGCCTTTGTGGTGCTGTGGCAGGTGACCCAATCAACAAGGCACACCAAACACCCCTTGTGTGCCAGGCATTCTGCAGACACTGAACAAGCAAGGAGTAAGAGGGTGGTATAAGGGGTAGACCCCACCCAAAAGGAACTTACAGTCAAAATAGACATGCATATAAGCACATCTAAACCACCATCAGTGCCCTGGTGGAGGCAGTGTAATGTACTCAGGAACACCACCAATGGCATAAGAACAGGAGCCCAGGATGACAGGAAGCTGCCACTGGAGCTGGCCTTGGAAGAAGGGCATGGATTCTCGAGGCAGAGAAGGCACAGCATTCTCAACAAATGCTCAGTATGTCTGTGGAATGGTGAGGCCTCTGCAGGGCTGGGGGCTGGGCGACAAAATATGAAGCTGCTGGCAAAGATGGCCATCACCAAGGACTGTGTGAGCTATGCTGAGGAACAAGAAGCCAGAAAGGGCAAAAGGGGGTGTGGGCAATCTATGCTTTAGAACGATACTCCCAGGGGCCCTATAGAGGAAGGAGAAGAGGAAGACGGTAGAGGTGTGTGGTACACATCCCATATACGTGCAAATACAATGGGTTATTACTCCCATGAGTAGGATACCTTATGTGGCAATGGTGAAGGAATTTTGCAGATGTGATTAAGTTTCCAAATCAATTGATTTTGAGTTTGTCAATAGGGTGAGTATCCTGGGTGGGCCTGATTTAATCATGGAAAAGCCCTTCAGAGGGGGTCTTCCTGGAAGGACTGATTCTTCTACTGGCTTTGAAGAAGCAAGCTGCCAAATCAGGAGAGGGACATGTGGCAGGGAATTTCAGGGCCTCCAGTGGCTGAGAGGAGGTCCTGTCTGATGGCCAGCAAGGAAGCAGGAACTTTAATCCTACAACTGTAAGGAACTAAATACTGCCCACTACCACATGAGCTTGGAAGGAGACCCTAAGCATCTAGCCTGACTGACACCCAGACTGCAGCCTTGGGAGACCCTAGGCAGAAGACCCATTGAGCAATTCCCAGAATCCTGAGCCACAGAAATTGGGAGATAATAAATGTATGTTTTTTTAAGCCATTATGTTTACAGTAAGTTGTTATGCACCATAACTATGAGACAGTGTGTGTCTCAAGGATGCTTCAAATGAGTTCTTACAGCCCCAACTCCTTGAAGGCCCTACTGCACCCATATCAATATTGTGATTCTAGGCAGAGGGAGTGCTCAACAATGCTGACTGCCCTCACCAAGACCCACCTCCAGAAACTCAAACTCGTCCCCCTTAGTCAGGGCGACTTCAATCTCCTCCCTCAGGGTCTGGATCTCATTCTTCTTCTTGAGGAGGATCTGGAAAATGGTGTCAAACTTGTTGCTGACCCTCTTCTCCTCTTCCTTTATCTTCCGTGTAGAGCTGGCCTCTGAGGCATCAATGAGAGCCTTCATTTCCATGTATTCTTGTCCAAGCATATCAATCTTCTGGTTTGCTGCCTCCTACAGAGGGCCAAGACAAGACAGGAGGGCACCATCAGACTGGCCAAATGCTAAACCTGCAATACCAAGTGCTGGTAAGATGTGACGCCAGGGAACTCCCACTTTCTACTTGGTGGGAGTACAAAGTGGTATAACCACTTTGGAGAACTTCTTAGCAATACGTAGTAAATCTGAGGGGGCATTCGTGGCTCAGTGAGAGACCTGGGTTTGATTCCCGGCCAATCTCATGAGCAGCCACCACTCATCTGTCAGTGGAGGCTTATATGTTCCTATGATGCTAAACAGGTTTCAGTGGAACTGTCAGACCAAGATGGACGAAGAAGGAAGGTCTGGTGATCTACTTCCAAAAATCAGCCAGGGAAGACCCCTGTGGGTCACATGGTTTGATCCCAGTGTACAAGGGGTCACCATGAGTCAGGGGACAACTGGACAGCAGCTAACAAAACCCCAGCACTCCAATCCCAGGAATATACCCCTGAAAAATTCCCAGATACCTTTTCCAGGGACAGGCACATTGTTTGAAACAACAAAACCTTGGAAACAACCTAAATGGCCATCAATATCAGACTAGATACCTAGACTGCAGCCTATTCAAAGGATGGTATATTACACAGGAAGGAAAAGGGATGAACCAGAGCTACGTGTGGATAAATTATCATGAGGGAAAAACAACTTGTAGAAGGACACACGCAGCATGATGTTCTTTATCTGCAACTCAGAAACAAGCAGAATGTAGCATGCATACATATATAATAAAAGTATAAAGAAATATATGGGAGTGAATGAATAAAGTAAAAATAGCAGATACTCTGGGGAGAGAGAAAAGGGGATATAATAAAGAGAAGGAAAAAGGTAATATTTGATCTCTTAAGCTGGGAGGCAGCGTATGGGTGATGTTTTTAAAGAAAGGGCATGCAGCAGCTCTAGAGAAATTCTGGAAACGATCACCCTCTAGAACTACGCTGTCCAACACCATAGCCACTCTCCACAGGTGGCTGTGAACCACAAGAAATGTGGCTGCATTGCACGTAAACTGGTGAAAACACACACTGCCTTGAGAAGACTTTAGTACCAAAAAGAAAAAGGATGTAAAATATCTCATTAATACTATTTTTTATTGATTACTTGTTAATGATAAAGCTAATATTTTAGATATCCTGAGTTAAACAAAGCATATTCTTAAAATTAATTACTTGTGTTTGTGTTATTCAAGCTAATTTAAAATTACATATGAGGTTCACAAGCTGTTTCTCTTGGCCAGCACCACTCTAGAAGATGCATCTCAGGGGATCTCCACAGCTCAGAATCCATATGACAAACAGAAACACACACACAGAAACCAAGATTGGGAAAACAGAGGGGAGCTAAAACATCCCTAATTCTGCCACTTCAACACTTTTGCTGCTATCCTTTTATGATACTTTTTTCAGCATTTTTTGTTATATTTTCTGTAGTGGATTGAATGGTGGTCCCCAAAAAATATGTCCATATGCTAGAATCTGTGAATACCACCTTATTTAGGGTCTCTGCAGACGGAATTAAGTAAGGACCTTGAAATGAGATCATCCTGGATTACCCATATGGGTCCTAAAGCCAATGCCAAGCATCCTGATACAAGAGAGGAGAGAAGACACGGACACAGAGGGCCAAGTGAAAACGGACGCGGAGAATGGAGTTTGGTTGTCACAAGTCAAGCAATGCCTGGAGCCACCAGAAACTGGAACCACCTTGCCTCTTCCAGTTCCTAGAGGGGCAAGGAAGGGTGCCCCTCTAGAGCTTTTGGAGGGAGCAGGCCCTGCCAACACCTTGATCTCCGACCCTTGGGTTCCAGAACTGTGAGGAAATAAATTTGTTGTTTCGAGCCACCAAGTGTGTGGTAATTTGTTACAGCAGGCCTAGGAAACAATACAGTTCCTTTTCATGAATTGTTCTAACCCCAGTGGGTAATAAGTCGACTTTTGCTTCCTGTTTTGTTTCTGCTTTGTAACATAACCATTTCTCTTTATCAATACTTTTTTTAACCCAAACATTTAACTATCCCCCTAAGGTTGGGCTTTTAGGTAGTTTTCAGTTTGAGGCTACAAGGGTTCTCTCTTGGGCACACAGCTTGTTTGCACATCTTGCAAGGCTGAAGTTTAATTCTGACACTTGGGAGTGGACCCAATACCAGCCTTACTAAGGACAGAACTGAGTGTGTCTTGCTCGGGGCCAGGGGAGCTCATCACTCACCCGCATATCCTGCTGCCTGGCTCTCACGTCCTCCAGCGCTTTTGATGCACCATTGATCTGACTGTATGTGGTGGCCAATTTTTGCCTCAGCTTGGCCTGTGGAGAAAACAGAGGGTAAGAGGCCACCCCTTCACTCCAGCCCAACACCAGGGACTACCCCTGAATCTGTCTACCCCGAGTCTAACCCGCTTCTAGCTTTGCAGAGTATTCTCATGCTTACGGCCTTCATTCATTCTTTTAGGGGAACAGTACAGTAGGAAGAAACCATTCCCTGGAGAAGGATATCACGCTCGGTAAAGTGGAGGGTCAATGAAGAAGGGGAAGGCCCTCAATGAGATGGATAGACACAGTGGCTGCAACAGTGGGCTCAGGTGCAGCAGGACGGTGAGGCCGGCACAGGACCAGGCAGTGTTTCATTCTGTTGTGCACGGGGTCGCTATGAGTCGGAGAAGACTCGACAGCACCTAACAACAAGAGAAGCAAGACTACAGGGTTTAGTACACCCATGTTCACTGCAGCACTGGTCATAAGAGCCAAAAGGTAGGAACAGTCTAAATGTCCATCAACAGATGACTGGAGAAACAAAGTGTTGTACACTCATACAATGGAATAGCCCTCTGCATAAAGAGAAATGAAGTCCCGAAACATGTACAACATGGATGAACCTTGAAACCATAAGCTGAATGAGATGAAATGAGTCAAAAGAATAAATATCGCATGAACCCACTTATATAAAAGACAACAGACACGTGTCTACAGACCAAAGTTTATCAGTGGTTATTAGGGGCAGGGCAGGGGAGGGAGCAGGGAGAAGACCCGGTGCTTAGGGGACACTGAGCTTCTGTGAAGGGTGATGGAAAATACCAGGAACAGTTCATGGTGAGGGTTGAACAGCAAGATGAACATACTTAACATCACTGAACTATACATGTGAAGACTGTTAAAATGGCAAATTTTTTGTTATCCATATATTTTAAAATGTTTTAAAAAGAGAGTCCAAGATTTGTGCCCAGCTACCACTATCAACCACTCAGAGGGGGATCTATGTAGGAGATCCTGGATAGAGTGGGAGAACAATGTGGAACAAAACTAAAAATTATTTTAAAAAAAAAAGGACCAGGTTTGCTGGTCTGATACAGCCTAGTGGAACCCCTGAGACTATAGCCCCTAGGTGCCCTTCAAGTCTGGAATTGAACCCACTCCTGTGGTTTCCAGCCAAACAAAAGACAGGCATATGAGCTGAACATTTACAGTGGGTAGGTACGTTCCTTGGAGAGAACAATCAAGGGAGAATAGAAGGGCTGTGTATGCACAGGGAGACAGCTTGGGGAACAGGAGTGCATGGGAGGGAAGGACACAGGGAAGAGGTAACCACAGGACGAAGTAGGAAGAGAGCTGTTGCACTGTGGGAAATTGCAGTCAATGTCATGAGACAAAGTGTATGTGAACTGCTATAGGGAAAATGCATTTGGTCTATAAACTTTCACCCAAAAACCATAATAAATTTTTTTTTTTAAATTATTGTTAAAAAAAAAAAGAGTCCAGGATTTAGAGCAAGACAGACCAGGATTAAAGCCACAGGTCCAGCTGTGCCACCTTCTCTCACCTCAGTCTCCTTGGCTACAAAATAGTTACAGCTGTTCCCACTTCACAGGGTTGTCAAGTTGTTGTTGTTATGTGCCGTCGAGTCGGCCCCAACTCACAGCGACCCCTCCTTGGGTTTCTGAGGCAGTATCACTACAGAAGTAGGATTGCCCCACCTTCCTTCTGAGGAGTGGCTGGTGGGTTTGAACCGCCAGCCTTCTGGTTAGCAGTCAAGTGCCTTAGGCACTGTGCTACCAGAGCTTCTAGGGTTGTCAAGAGGATTGAATAAAATAATGTAAATATTCATCACAGGGCCTGGACCTCAGCCAGGACATTACTAAGTGTCAGCTGTAATCCTATGTGTTTCTTCACAATTACCCATTTTACAGCTGTTAAGACTGAGGCAAGGAGGACAGCAAGGTGGCCAGGCTCATATAGAGACATAAAGAGTGGGATGGCTGCTTCAGTAATGACAGATGAAGTTGTTCAGACAACCCTTCCACAGTAAACAACCAGGAAAGCAGATAAGATACTTAAAAAAAAAAAAATCTGCTTAAGGACACTGGAGAGCTAACAAAGCAAGGAAGGAGCCAAGATCCGGGAGAAGGAAACCTAAAAGATAAGCCCAGAGGCATCTGCCAACTCCAGAAGAGGGCTGAGAAAGCCTCAGCCTCAGGGAACCAAGAGGACAAAGCAAGTTCACCTGGGGAAACCACTAGGCTGGGGCCACCAAGGGCCGCATGCAAGGTACTCCTTGCAAAAATAGGTCAGCCGTAGGTGCAGAAGTTCAGCTGCAACTGAATTTAAGCCGATTCAAAATTGCTAGGCCCCAAGTCACCTCCAGAAATAAAGATCAATTGTCCATGAAGGGAGATATAATCATCATATGCAAGGAGCTCTGGTGGTGAAGTGGTCAAAGGATTTGGCTGCTAACCAAAAGGTGGGTGGTTCAAACCTACCAACTACACTCCGTGGAAGAAAAATGAGGCAGTCTGCTTCCATAAAGATTTACAGCCTCAGAGACCCTGTGGGGAGCTCTACTCTGTGCTATAGGATCACTATGAGTTGGAATCGATGGCAACGGGTTTTGGCTTTTTCAGGCCTCATATTACTTCCATACTTTTCATAATCAGTATCTTACCTCTGCTCAGATAAAATGTTGGGGGCACAGAAGTGAGAAGGAAAATGCCCACCGCCACCATCAAAGTAAAACCATTTGCCGTCAAGTCAATTCCAGCTCAGGGTGACCCCACGTGTTTCAGAGCTGTATACTGCACTCCACGGGCTTACAATGGCTGACCTTTCAGAAGAACGCCACCCCTTTCTTCCTAGCACCTCTGGCTGGACTTGAATCCAACCCTTTGGTTAGTAGTCGATCATGTAAACCAACTGCACCAGCCAGAGACTCCATGCCATAATAGTAGCAGCTACTGCTTCTTATCTACTTACTATATCCCTGGTAAAGCAGCTCTGAGCAACAGGATGACAGAGGAATTATTATCATCCCCACTTTCCAGATGAGGGCACTGAAGCACAGAGCAATTAAGTGACTTGCCCAAGGTCCCATCGTTATCAGCTGGTACAGCTAAGATTCTGGTGTTACAATTGTGGACAAAGGCCCAAGCAGTGAACAATGGAAACTTCTGGAAAAAAGGTTTCCTTCCTCTAACTAGCTGGCTCAACATACTCTGTCCCTTTCACTTTCCTGCCTCTCCCACTCCACCCAGAATATTCAGAGCTGAGCACGACGACCTTGAACCTGGATTTCAACAACTCAGTGACAGTCACATGCAAGGGCTGGAAACAGGAACCGAGGCCACACTAACTGGACCCTGAAAGTCCAAGCCACTGATGATGTTTCAGACTCAACCTCTATGACAATGCCCTTTGACCTGGCCTCCAACGCTGGCAGAGATAAGGTGTGGGCCAAATGCAGACAGGCAGGCCCTGGCAGATTCAGTCTCTTGGGGTCTCAGACTGCAAAAGACCTTAAAACACACAGAGGCTGCCAATGGTTTTAGTACTGTACCCTGGAACTCTTTATTTTGAAAGATTTCCTACAGCATTAACCAAACATGTCTGAGTCCTCTGACTGTGGGCAGGGGCCCTCAGGTTTCCAGACAAAAGGAAAGTGACCCAAGAGCTTTGACTAGCTGCATTAGCAGCTAATCAAAGGTGGAGAGCTCTAAGGAGTCTTCACAGACTGACCCCTGAGGAACACCAGTCTCTACTCCGTCCCGCAACAGTGGCCAGAACAAGCGGCTGGTCCAATGCACTGCCCAGGGCCTGGCTCTACAGCTGGCAGTGAGCAGCAGCAGGGTTTGAAAAGGAGACCAGTTTAAGGATTCAGCAAGGAGAGGCTCAGCAAAAAAGAGGAAGACCCTCAACGAAATGGATGCACACAGTGGCTGCAAAAATGGGCTCAAACAGCAACAACTGAGGATGGTGTGGGGCTGAGCAGTGTTTCATTCTGTTGTACATAGGGTCGCTATGGGTCGGACCCAAGTAGACGATACCCAACAACAATGGGGCTGGGTG